ACACAATAAATAAATTATACTTGCTTGGTAAGAATGACATCAAAAGAGTTTTCAGAAAAATATAAAAATAAATAAATAAATGAGCATTATATGCCCTGCATTTACTATTAGGAAATACTACGGGTCCCGTTACGAAATTATTCCGTCTGAATTTGTAACCGTTAGATCATCATGTAACCGTCGAGTATAGTTGATCTAATAGTTACGAACCCAACAGAATAGTTTCGTAACGGGACCGTAACATTTCCCTTTACTATTTTCATTCAGTTATAGTCTCTATTGATTAGTAAACAGTGAACTTGGTTATGACTTATGAGCATAAATTATGTGTCACATTGAATGTAGATTAATTCTGATAATAATAAGTATCTCAATGAAAAATGTAAGGGCAAAATAAGTAAACTTATTTATTCGTAAAAGAATTAATGAAAAATATTGACATGAGATAGGGGAAAATCAGTTTTAATACTAGACGTGGTAAAAACCCAGTTCGAAATCAGCGGTTCAGATTCGTTATTTTTGGTGAACTGGAATCGACTCGGGAAAGATTAAGGGCTGGTTTGAGAAATTAAAAAAAATAAAATAAAATAGAACATTTTTTTTTTTGGTATAATAAAGGAAGCAAGGCCTATGTCCCGACTATATCAGCACCCGACGAGGGTGTGACGCACCGGCAATGTCATATTGCAACCATAACCCCGCTCTCCGAGGAGGGCTGTCCAATAATTTTAAATAGAATTTGGGCGTATCCATTAACAGCATATATCTTTAAAATTATCATCTTGATATCTCAAAATTCGTGAGATTCGTGTAAATCCTCGTCGAAGTTTCTATTTTTTTGACCAAATGTACCTTAATGTTTGACAAACTACTACCAAAGAAGCAATTGATGGGGAAATTCTACGGTCACCCGTTACGGATTTACTCCGTCAGGATTTGTAACCGTTAGATCAACTATCCACGACGGTTACATGATGATCTATCAGTACAAATCCCGATGAAATGGTTATGTGACGAGACAGTAACATTTCTCTTAATTGATGAGAAAGAAGTAAGAGGATCCACAATCTATAATAAATCACTTCAAAAACTAACATCTTCCAAAACAAAAAAACAAAAGTAGCAAGCAAATTAGTGCTTAACCAACAAAGCTAAGAAGTTAAACTCTGGTGCAAAAACAAACAAAACATACACTTAGGCTTATCCCATATTACAATTCATCAACAAACAAAATAAGGTCTTTTGTTTACTTATGTTCCTCACGATAATGTGGGCAAGAGTCAATACCCGAACCTTTTACTAACCCTTTGCCTTGTGTTGAATCTTTATAGAGTTATAAGATTTCTCTTATATTCTAACCATAGATAAACATCGCAAAGGAAAAGGGCGCGCGCAAGGTGCGTTCTTGACTACTTCTCCCGTTTCTTTCGACCATCCTAACGTAAACAAATCCTTCTTTACATTTACCGATTCAACCTTCTTTCGGCCCCTGCAAAACATCATATAAAGAAAAACAAAAAAATAAGAAAAGAACGAGTCTTAGCATTTCATTTCATATTCGACATAATCGAAAAAGCATAATGTGATATGATGATAGTTGTATATATGTCAAATCTTAAATAAAAATCTTGAGAGATGACTACAGTCCCCTTTGGAATCATTCTGTCAGTGTGCTTTAACGGTAGATTATCTACCCAACACTAATCTACATGTGTATATAAAGGCTAATAATAACCACGAAATAATTCCGTGAAAGGGACTCTACTCATTCCCCAAAACTTGAGATACTAAATTTAAAATTTGTAGCTTACCATGAAGATAAATATATATATTTTTTTTAGGTCAAGAACCGTCACACAGGACGGCACCTTTGATCCGCTCGACCGTGCACTTGATAAGGCTATTGACAGTTGCCACCGAACCCAAAGAGAGTTTGGCCGTGGGAACAGAGTCGACCAATATTTGGAATGCCACAGTCAGCAAAGATCCGCCCGACCCGACCTCTGGGTTTGGACCTGTCGGGTTATTGGGGCCATCAGGAAGTATAGCAAACCCGGATGGCAAAAGGGCCACGTAATCCGGGTCACCACCACTAAGGACAACGTTCATTGCCACGATATCAACGGGAGCATATATGACGTACGAGCCAGTTGAGTCCGTGCTGCTCTCTTGAAGTATCAGCATATTGCTCTGGCTCGAATTCGGACTCTGCATTGTAAAATTAATTAAGAGTTTTGTTTGTTAGTTATATAGTTTACGGTTATTATTATGAACTATCTATAATGAAAAACTTACGTTGACACGGAGTAACGAGACAGAGTTTCCAGGATCACGGCCGTTGGCAATGTGGGCCATTTCTTGAACGAGCCCGCCGTTCGAAAGAATGTCCCACTTCACGCACGTACGAGGTTAAAAAAGTCAATGTATATCGAGATTGGTATATAAAGTTAAAACATATATTTACGATTTCGATTCGAAAAAACATGAAGAAGCACGAATTAGTACCTCACTTCTCGAATTCTCGTCCCTCAGAAAGTCGAACACCCTCTTAGGTGGGACCGGGAGCCAGAACGAGGTTGCAGCGCTAAGCACAATCCCGGGCGGCCTGCCCGGGTCGTCCATGCTCTTTCTAGTCATGACCCGAACATCGTCTGCCCCACTTCCCGAGAGTGTTGTCCACGTGTGGGCAGTCGAGGCCCCCACGCCTGTGCAGAAGCTCATGACCATCCTCTCGGCTAGCTTCAGCATGCTCTTCCTGCCCTCAGGCGACGATATGACTGGCACAATTTTTCGCGAATAATAAATTATGAGTAAATTACAAAATCCTAACCTGTTTGTCCCCTTCGAATTGTTTTTGTTTTTTTTTTTCGTTCCTAATATTTGCAAAAAGGCTACAAAAAAGTATTTTTCGCAACAAAAACATCATATTTTTTGGCAATAAATATTGCGATTTCGTCCCTTATGTATGCTCGAAGACTTTTTTGCAAACAAAAAGAGACGAAAAAAAAAATCGAAAAGGACGAAAAAGTTAAAGAGTACTAAAACATACAGGAAATTTGCAATTTATTCATAAATTATTAATGAATTTTCAGGAAAAAAAAAAAAAATTATGATGCAAATAATTTTAACTACCGCCAATATCCCCTGCTGCAATGTTGTTGGCCATTAAGCTCGCTAGACGTTCGCATTGTCGATCGAGGGTAGCAACCCAACGGCGGGCACCGAAGGCGAGTCCCGAGTTGACGAGCGCCTTGTAAATGGTGTGAACGGCCCGATCGTCAATTTCGACATGCTCGACCCATGTTACCTAGCCAGCAACACAACACAATCAGAAAGTTATAATAATAGATGTAAGCACACAATGTAAGAATATGTGGCCCGAAAGTATTGGGCTGACATTTAATTATCCTATTGGGCCAGACCTTATTTAATAGTCAAACAAATCCAAGCCATTAATCTGGATATTTGATGGACGTACCAGATCTAAGGACACCCCTATATAAATTAGTCCTCTCTCCTCCTATTAGGGTACGCAGTATTTTTCCCATCAGTTTTTCTGCTACGTAAGAGAAGGTCAGGAGGGAGAAACTAATTTCAGATCTAACAATCAATCAAGCCTGTGTGATCATCAAGATCAAGATCACTAATTATGTCATCTTCCGCATCAAGTAAGTATTTCGTATACACCAAATTATTTATTCAAGATCCTTAATGAAGTTTACATGTGGTATCAGAGCATGTGTTGTGGATAAATAATTTGTTGTTTGAATCATATGAGCATGATTGTATGATAACTCGTATGATTGTTTTCCCAATCCAATCGCATCAAATCAATCGCAAATATGAACAATATGATATTGACCGACTTATCATGAACTGTGATGACGTTTCGGGAAATTTAATTTCTTCCGCACAGATTAATGGTATTTATGTATTTGGGACCGCATCAATGTTTGGCTTGTTAATTATGATGTTCAGTGAAAAGCTTGATTGACAGAGCATGATTATTGTTTACATAAAGTTGTTTATATGGCTGCATATGAAATTATGTTTTGTATAAACTGATTTCATGATAAATTGATGAGGCTGTATATATATATACAAGTATCCATGCATGATTGAATTGTGTTCAGAATTCTGAATTCACATATATGCCATGAAATGAACAATTGTTAATTTTGTGGCAAGAAGGGATATGAAGGATTTATTTCCTTTCATTATGTTGTGCATAATTGAAATTTATGTGTTTTGGATGATGATGATTGAGTTGACAAACTCCCATTTTGTTTATGAGTTACAAAGGGTTAGTTTGTTAACATTATAATTATTTGTTATTATATGACATTAAAGCAAAATTAATTTGTTCGTCACCAAAGTGGCCTAATTAATTTTTAATGTTCAGTCATATAATTTATCGTTATGAAGTGTTATTATATGACATTAAGATAAAATTAATTTGTTAGTCACCAAAGTGGCCTAATTAATTTTTAATGTCCGGTCATATAATATTATTGTTACAATTAATTGTTATATGACATTAAGATAAAATCAATTTGTTAGTCACCAAAGTGGCCGGATTGATTTTCTAATGTTTGGTCATATAACTTATGTTCTCTTGAGAATGTCATTATTTAAGATAATGAGTTTATTGGTTGTTAGAAATTATGGATTTACCCAAAGGTGAATCAATGTCCTATAACTAATAAACATTAAGGAGAAATATAATATATTTTGTCGAGCATATGTAGATATCCAAAGATACTATGTATGTTAGACGAAGTTTATTTAATTTTTCATTAAGTGTTAAATGACATTCGACTTATGATAGTGATATATATTGTTGTGTTTACCCAAAGGAGACCTGCAATATATTTTATGAATGATTATCTGAATCTATTAATTAAGTGAGCTTTTATGATTGTGCAGCTATCTCTCTTCATTCGCAAGCTTCTTCTGTTACTGTCTTCAATGGTTTGAATTTCTCTGAATGGCGTGAG